GTGTGTGTGTGTGTGTGTGTGTGTGTGTGTGTGTGTGTGTGTGTGTGTCAGCAGCAACTGGCCCAGACATCTCCAGGAAGCGTCCTGTCTCTGCGGGGGACCAGTGTCCCAGGATCCCCTGCTGCTGCCATCGTGGTGAGACTCAGACTCCAGATCCGTCATCTTCAGATTAATCTGTAATCTGTAATCTTAACCCCGCCTCCTCTCCCCCCTAACCCCACCCCTCTGCAGGCCCGGGTGGAGGACGGCGTCATCGGCTACAAGGACCTGGCAGCGCTGCCCAGAGACAAAGCCATCCTGGACATCGAGAGACCCGACCTGATGATCTACCAGCCGCACTACAGCTACAGTCCTCTGGAGGTGAGCCCCAAGTCATGGTCCAACACCCTGATCAGGGTCCAGATAATCCAAACATCCTGCTCCGACACCCTGATCAAGTTAAAACTCATTCTCTGTCTTTTAGTCGTAAAATCTCATCTTCATGGGTTATTTTACTTTATCTTACAAACACACTTCAGCCAAGGGATCCTGATGTTATCAGTCCATGAAATGGACGTTATTGGGCGTTATCAGTCCCATACAATGGCTTCAGAGGGTCCCTACTGCTCCAGACTGTCTCGACAGTGCCCCCTATTGGGTTAATATATCAATGACAATGAATGTGTAAATAACCAAAAGATATTGTAATACATTTATTGTGTCAGTGCCGGTTTCGAACCCTGGTCTCCCGCTCCGACGCTCTACCCATTGCCCTAATGAAAGGCCACAATGTTCAGCTGTTGGAGGGCGGTGTCTTTAGTGCTAACCATGTCATTTGCTCTAACGTTAACCTTAGTGGCTTTAAGCCTCATATTAACCAGTTTTTTATGCCTCATATTAACCAGATAGTGGTTTTATGCCTCATACTAACCATCTGACGATCAGAAGCCATTCTATGGGACTGATAACGCCTAATAACGTCCATTTCATGGATGATAACATCTGAAGTGGGTGCTTCAGCCTTTTCTATAAACAAACACATCTGGTCTCAGGTTTTATTTACGGATCTTTAATTTACAGATGATTGACTTCATTTGCTGAAAGAGTTTGATCTGTATGTTTGTTTGTTTGTTTGTTTGTTTTCTCCTCCTGCAGAGGTCTCTGTCTCCTCGCTCCATCTCTCCTCCTCCCTCCCCAGAGGTAAATAAAGTTTCCACACTTCCTGTTTACATTCTGATGTTTCATGTTCAGATTTATCCTGGCTGTGTCCATAACTAACTACTGGTTAGGGTGGGCCGGGTCCTTGGTAGACCAGGAAAAGCAGAAAAAAGCAGGCTGTGGATTTGGACGGTCTAGCCTCCCCTCCACCCCGGCATACGTCCAGTCGCCCATCAACCATGACGACGCTAAACAGAAGCAAAATTAGATCAAAATTAGAAAAATATCAATACATTAGCATTATTAATACCACAAAACAATAAAATTAACTTAAAGGTAATATTTGAAGAACTAATTGACCCGCTGTAGGTTCATGTTTATTTCGCGTTTTTATGATAAAAATAATACTTAAAAACATGTCCATACAAATGATAAAAGTATTAGAATTACAACCGCTAAAATGTTTTAATTTTTATATCGCCATATTTTTATTTAGAACGTATTCTTTTCTCTCGCTTCGTCCGCCATTACTAGCATAAAAAAAATCTCAGGTCGGGCTGCAATGCATTATGGGATATGGTGGGCCGGGAAGGATCCATCGGACCTGTCCTTCGATTCGGGCCAAARGRAGGWYGTATTTGTCGGCCGCATCGGAGGAGTCTTCGGTTTTGGACGTCCTTCGTCGCTGCGCTGTGACGTATGTGGACGATGAATTCGACCTTCGGAGGACCCGTCCTGTCGTTTTAAACACAGCCTCTGTCAGTAAATCAGACAGGAACACATCAGGTCAAAGGTCAGGGGTCAGGGAACTGATTGTTTAAATAAAAATAAAACCAAAGCATTTTGAGCTTCGGCTGTTTGTAGCCGAGGGTTTGCTTCATTATCAGTGTTATCAGAGAAACACCTGAACCAGAACCAGTACTGGACCCCCTGGTTGACACAGTTCATCCTGAGGGTCCAGCTATGTTGAGGATTTCCCAGCTGTCATTAAACACACCTTCGCCCTCTCACCTTACCTTCACAGAACTTGTCCAAGGAGTGCAGGGAGTGGCCGGAGAACCGGTCACCTGGAGGTTCCTCACCTTGTTCCACCATCCAGAGCAGCAGAACCCACAGCTCCCACACACCTCCTGCTCTGAACACCCCCACCACCCCCAACACCCCCAACACACCCAACACACACGCCCTAGGTACCAAGAGTACGGTGCAGCACTTTCACAGGCCCGGTAAGAACTGGATCTTTATTTAAAATCAACACAAAATGATTTGAACAGATTTTAAATTTATTTTATTTGTGTTTTAACTTTTTATTTTTATTAATTTGTTAGAAAACGGCTCCAACATCTATAAGAAGCCTCCGATCTACAAACAGGGTGAGTTTCATGTTTTACTGGATCTGATTAACCTGGACAGACCTACAGAACCACAGATCCACAGAACCACAGAACTACAGAACCACAGATCCACAGATCCACAGATCCACAGAACCACAGATCCACAGAACCACAGATCCACAGAACCACAGATCCACAGAACCACAAATCCACAGAACCACAGATCCACAGAACCACAGAACTACAGAACCACAGATCCACAGATCCACAGATCCACAGAACCACAGATCCACAGAACCACAAATCCACAGAACCACAGAACCACAGATCCACAGAACCACAGAACTACAGAACCACAGATCCACAGAACCACAGAACTACAGAACCACAGATCCACAGATCCACAGAACCACAGATCCACAGAACCACAAATCCACAGAACCACAGAACCACAGATCCACAGAACCACAGATCCACAGATCCACAGATCCACAGAACCACAGATCCACAGAACCACAAATCCACAGAACCACAGAACCACAGATCCACAGAACCACAGAACTACAGATCCACAGA